TAATATATCTCTGAGAAGGTACAGCGATGGCCATATTTTCATTATTTGAATAACTCCAAATCCCATGACTCATAAACTCTTTATGTTGATATTGTATGGGAAAGCAGGTCCCTTTGACGAGGAGTAGAATAGATCGGGAGGTGGGCTCTTAACCAATCACGGCAAAATCATACTGATCAAACAGAGCTCTAAATGCCTCAAGTTTAGCCGTCCATGGCCATCGAGTTATGTCTCCTAAATCAAACAAGAAAAAACTTCCTAAAATTTACTTTACAGCTAGACAGGAAAGAATAAAGACCTCGTTTGCGATTCTTTAGAAATCTTATTCATGCAGGAACCATTGTTAGGCACGTTTGGGAACTTGGCAGTTGCATGCAGCGATTCAAAAGGCAGATTTTCAGTTAGGAGAGCAAATTTTTCCGCTTTTTTCACTGTTTCGCTCCACATTAGTCACATTCCATTGATTGTCCATTACGCTTCGCACGGACATAAAAAGAATATTTTTATCAAAATCCAAAGGTGGTCTTTCAAATACCACATCCGTCATAATCAGCACTCTATATCTTCTATTGTAATCTCACTTGGTCTCCTATTATCGCTTTTATTACTATAACCTGCTTTTTACTATAAACTGCTTTTTTACTGTAACCTGCTTTCATCCTTTGAAATTCAGTTATAGGAAATTAGAATGAGGAATAACAAAACAAATCCTAGACATGAAGTATGAAAAAAATGAATAGACATTTTGTACTCTATACCGGTACAAAGATTTTATAAATGAAACAAATTTCTGATTCAGTGATACGTTTTGTCATGAAAATGATGATAAAGTTATAATCCTTCAGGTTTCGTCAATGCAGGTGGGTCTTGCCTCAAAATAAAAGAAGTGTAACTTCAATTTATTATTGTGGGATATTCTCAAATTCTGTTTACCGGTACAATCTAATTTGATCTAATCATGGAAGAGAATTCACTCTTTTTCGAGTAAATGTAGGGGTTCAAATATGTTATCTGAAGAAAAGAATTCTCCCTAGGAATGTCATTTTCTTAATACATGTCATATGCATTTCAATAGCAAAATAAGAAGGCAAACAAATTCCTAGACAGGGTCTTGCTGACCAATAATTCACACAATTTCATCACGTTTTGGCGAATTACAGAAATTATTGACAAAAGTAAGAGAGTAGAGAGCACACACGCTGAGTGAATTAACAGATCTTTCTTGATACCATCTTGTATTGATTCAAGACAAGATTCAGGGACTTTGACGAATGAGTTCACGCCATTCATGGAGCATGCCAGGACTGGAAAAACGGTCAATACCCGGAAGATACTCTCTTCACCGATAAGATGTGCCATTTGTTGAAATTTAATTGAGTGACCCAATGATTATAGCAGCTCTGGAAGTACCAGTACGTTTCTCAATAAAACCTCTCCACTTGCTAATGTGAATACCAGGTTGTCTTCTTAGTGATCCAGTTTCTACCACTGCCCATGTCCCTTTAAATGAACTTGACTGCCCCAACTTCTGGTATGTGCATAATTTTGATATTTGGGGTCCATTTTGGAATGTCAAAGTCATCATGATCATTTAATTATCCCTGAAAGAAATTGCCGCACTGCATGAGTGCAAGAGATGTTTCAATTTCAATTCTGGTTTGGTAATCACAGGATGTGGACATTTGCTAACTAGGCTGGTCTTTCCAATGGACAGTAGCATAATTTCATTAGCCAAGATCTACCTGTGAAACAAATTAAACCCATTCAAGTTCATTTGAAGTATGGGAGGTGTGGGGCTTTTTTTTCATATCATACAATCTGATTACATTTCCAAATGCACTCCCTCCTGTTAAAAGATTACTGGTCAGAAACATTTTATATTATAAGAGTCACTTCTGGACATCCGTCTTCTACCCGTCTCTCCCCCCCCCCCTCCCCCCCCCCCCCCCCCCCCCCCCCCCCCCCCCCCCCTCTCTCTCTCTTTCATCTCCTTTAATTTTATTATTTTGTAATTCTTCTCTCTCCAACTATTATCATATCTCAAGATTTAAATTTATTTTAGTCAAATGGATGTGCCAACCCCAGAATTCATGATCGACTATCCTTTTATATGTCACATTTGCATTCTGGATCTTCTTTTCCATTTTTTGTTTTTTGGGAGTGTGTGTGAGAATATTATTGAATAAACTAACATGCTAGAGTCATCTCTACACCCATGAAATTAATAAAATAAAATAAAATCTTCAAATCTCACTGTAGCCAGTTAAAACAAAAAATTTGTGCTTGACATTGTCATTATTAATCTCCACAAAAGATTTCAAGATTCCACTATAATTATCCACCCTTTTTAAGAATTAGAGGAAAGACAGTGTGCAATCACAAACTGACACCTCTTGCTTTCAAGCTCCAGGCGATATTTTACATCTCCAGAAATGAGAAAGGACTTTCTGCCAAGCCATTTTCATCTTAAATGTAAATTATTCCGTTTTTAAAAGCTTCTTCTGTCCAGGGGTCGTTTGTCAAAGCTACAGAGCAATGACAGGTATGTATATGTCAGCCATCCAGGCATTTCTTTTGGCTAAACTTGAGATTCCTTTTTGCAGAGACACAAAACCAAGAACTATGAAGCAATGACAAACAATTACCCCAAATAAAATAAACAATTTAAAAATAATTTAATCTTTCTGTATTGAATATAATATTGCAAAGTATGCAAACAGAAATGCCACTCATGTCAGGTTTAAAATGCAGTGCCATCCAGTAATTCCATGAAGATGAGCTGTTAAATCTTTCTGCAAAATAGACCCACAGAGAAAAGAAAATCGTCTAACTCCCGTGAGTTTGAATTCCATGGTTATATTCCTGTTTGAGGTTTAACACGTTTCCACTCGCACAACCGAGACAGAAGTAGCACTATTTAGAGGGATCACGTACTCAAAGCATTAGCTCTAGGCAGATAAATTGATTTTCATACGGTGGTTCATCTAAGATGCATTACAGGGACTAAAAGAGAAGAAGGTGCATTAAAAGATGGATCACTTCATGGATTGATAGAAGAACACTTAATTTGTCTCTCTCATATTTTGAATTCATATTTAAAGATGCATCTCAGGCCATGTTTTTTATCATGAAAAAGGACACAAATCTCTCTCTCTCTCTCTCTCTCTCTCTCTCTCTGTCTCTGTCTCTGTCTCTGTCTCTCTCTCTCTCTCTCTCTCTCTCTCTTTTCCTTATCCAAACTGTTTCATCCATCACAATCATTTCAAGCAGCAATTTGACAAATGTTACCTTAAAAGAACCTACATGCAAATGATGGAAAAGAAAATTACTTGGATAACCAGCACTCCACAACTATGATTAATTTCAACATGAAAGTGACAAAGATGAATACCTCAGTCCCACCGCTAAACAGACTCCATAACGACCGCATTTTGCCCATTGAGGTAATTTACATTTCTCTTCATTCCAAGTCATTCTGGTGCCAATCGCGTTGGTGCGTCAGGGGTATATGAAAACATCTCAAACTAATTCTCCACAAACATCAATCTCACATTGGAATCACAAAGTTGAGGCCGAGCTTAGCACTTTGTAAGATGGATTGTTTACCGGGCACTCCTGTAAATTACTATTTGTCTGGATGTGGAATAACATGATATATCCAAAGCCACTGTTTGATTGCTTTCAATTAACACCTGAGCAATTCACCAGATGCAGCAAAATCTTTGCAAAATTCCATTTTGGAGATGAAGATTAAAAATAAAAGGTGGAGAATTGATTGCTTAAAGATTGAAAACAATTTTGTGACATTTAAGGGACAGATGTGCCCTATCTAATGTTTTCCATTTATTGCAAATACTAATAATTGGCTGAATTTGTGTTACTATTTCATGCTTTAAATATCAAATTAATGGCAAGTGCGGTTCATTAACATGAAAATTAACTTGAATTCATTTCCAATTAATGTAAATAGGAATCAATCTGTAACACAAGCATCCTAACATTGCTACAAATTAAGGATAGAGATTGGTCTGAGTGATGATTAATTGCAATGGCCCCCTCAAATCCATTAGAAGTATGTGCGGAACATCCATAATTGATGGAATGTGACTCTAGTACCCCCACGTGCCTTGAATTGAAATTTAATTCTCATTACAGAACCTTACATCAAGTGTGCTATGTAAAGTCTGACTAAACCTACAAGTGGTACTTCCACCATGCTTCCACGCTCTGCCAACATATGAGCAATATGCACATTGATTCTCTCTGATATTTGTACAAATGAGTTATAATTTATATAAAGAGATGTATTTGTAGCTTCCTCGTTATACATTAGTCATTACAAATAGTGCCTAAAGCCACCGATCTGTCATGGGGTTTCTCATTTAATGTAGTTCTGTCTCCTCACTCTGAATAATGCAGCGTTTAACAACTTGAAGGATGCGTTTCTTCAATCGCATCAAGAGATGAGTGTACGAGACTTGTATTGAGTCAGGCTGGGGTCTGATTAAGGGTACACATTATTTGAAGTGCTCTTCTTAGTTTGACTGATTCATCAAAAGACAACTTCACAGATTTGATGATGGATCAAAATATGAGGGGTAAAGTCTTTATTAAGCCGTTGCAATCTTCAAGCACCTTAATTGAACAAGGGTGATTACATTTCCCTTAACGAGCCATCTTCCAAAAACCTATAAATTCAATGACTCTTTTTTTTAAATGTCGCTATGGACCTATGTACATAGTTGTAATCTATGCAGTATAGCTGTACAACAAAAGCGAAGATCCAATATTTTTGAGCTCCAAAACATCTCTATGCTTTACAAAGAGAGTTTATGCTCAACATGACAGCAACCAAATGGTTATTCACACAAAAAAAATCGTCTTCCTAACTCACACCAAAGACGCATTATATCTGTCTATTGAGTACCAGAAGGCTATTGACCTAATGGCTTTCTGGCTGTCAAGATGATTATCAAAAATATAATATCTCATTTTCTTACCTTTGTTTCGGTCATCACGTAGACATGGTTTTCATCTGGTGTTAGGACCATGCCGTTCTGCACCATGCCACCATCAGCATCTATCGTCATCTCCTCATACAGCATGGCAGTGGATGAATCCATCAACCACAGCTATGTGAAATAAAAGACAAATATAACAAATTAACAATAAAATATATTATAATTATTGGTGAGAAAAAGAGCAATGAAAGAAGGGATAGAACATGTTGCTATTTTGAAAAACATAAGCATACTGATTAAGGGGGACAGTTGGATTTAACAAGTTGTTTGGAGCACTGCATTGCAACTAATTCTTTAGGTCAGAATTAATAACTTCCGATTCAATTTAATAAACATTTGAGAAAAATATAGCTAATCCATTCTGTATCATCAAATCAATAAAGGGATGATACATGACAATTCAATTTAAAGGAAAAGGAAAGGTAAATAAATGCAAATTAACAGCTGACATGCCTCTTTTTCTCTTTCCCTATATTCTTTTTATTTAATAAAATATTAGTGAGACTGTAGACACAACTGGAGTTAAGTGTTTGAACAAGACAGACAGACGATAAACACAACCTTCTTGACATCTTCCTCATTATATTCAAACTTTATACCAAATTGGCAGTAAAAAAAAATGAAATCTGGTGACCCTTATCGTAATGGTAGATATTAAGCAAATATCATTAAGTTCCTACGGATTAAGTATTAACAAAAGCTGAAATGTACATGCTTTTGTGAATGTTGCCAAAGTCCAATTCCCACGATTAGCATGAGTCATTATCATTCATAAGTTTTGACTTCGTAATTTAGAATTGCGAAATATATTTGCATTTCTTAACAATCTAAATGCGTCTCTTTTTTCTTTCACTTTCGTGAACAATATGTGGTCAAGTAGACCAAATTTGGTATGCACTGTCCCATTCCCCCCAAAAAAATATTGTCAAATTAACAGTGATGATATTTTCTCCATCAAATTGAAACCAATTTTTAGAAGTCATTAAGCTTACAGTTCAATGAACAAATAGTGAAAATACTTCAGGCTCGATAATTCTCTCCTTAGCCTTATAGAGCACAATAAGTTTCATGAATGTAAAATGTCTTTTTCTCAGACCCTTGTGCTCAAAAGTCAATCAAATATTTTGCAATGGAACATAAATATAATTTGATATGATATACAGGTCCCCTTTCCAGAATGACCTATTCACCTAATCTCCCAAAGCATTTCACAGATAACAAGTCCAATCTGTTTCAACCTTTGAACATTCAACATCATAGTGATAATGAATGTAGAGGTAGAAACTCAATATTTGGAGAACCATTTAAAGTACACATCCGCAGAAAATGGGATAATGTGCAAACAGAGAAAACACACATTGAATGTGTACGTTTCTCATGGTCTCCCTCTCTTCCCACGGCTTGATCTTAAAATAAAACTTGAAAAGAGGCCCAAATGAAATTCAGATATAAGTAATGAACGGCATCAGAATGTAAGCCAGTTTGAATTAGATTGAATGTTAGTATAAGCAAATCCAAAGATTGCAGGTTAAAGATGATCTTAGATTAAATTACAGATATTGTAAGACTCTTCAAAACTTAAAGAAAAATTCGAAAGTCTCAATATTCTCAGGTAATAGCAAGTTTATTTAGAATCTATGCAGAGAAAAGGTTTTTAATGGACACAAATAATTAAACAATGATTTCATAAATAAAACTGCAAAACATTCACTTTTCTTTGTCATACTTAAATATCTAAAAGATTATTGATTTTTAGATGAATAGCTTCACAAAATTGCTACCCCTCACTGTGATAATGACACAATCGATCAATAGGCCAGTTCATACATGTAGTTGAAGTCTGAGCATGAGCAGATAAAGGTCATTGCAGACCAAATTGTGAAATACAAGGAGACAAAATACTTGATACGTGCTCATGAAAGTTATGTAATCATTATTCATTTATGCACAAGCAGTGCACTCCATGAAACACAGGTATTCTTTGAAAAGGAGAAACAAAGGCTATTTATGTAGCACCTCCATCGCTGTAGGAGTGATTAATTAAAAATATATAAAGTGGGACCTCTTCATGTTTTGAAGATCTGTGGATATTTAGGGTCTTAAATTCTTAATGAGAAATCCATGCAAGTTGATTCTTGATCTTTAATGCTCAAAACTAATAAAATTCCAATCAAGCCATCATCTTCACCCCTTTAAGATGCAATTAATTTTCTCAAGTCAGATAAATGAGATATTAATTTTGTCCACTAAAACGACAATTAGATGCCCTGAGGTCAATCCACTTTACCACTGAAGCACTATATTTAGAATCTCATTAAATGACAATCGAGGTTGAGCATTGAAGTTGCAGTATAATATACATGTAGTATGTGTAAATTGATAGCTCATAAAAGGCCCTGGAAACTTGAAAATAGCTTTTTGAAAATGGGGGGAAAAAAGGAGGAGGGATATTGTCTCCATGAGTACATGGAAACGGCACCCTTTCTGCACAAAATCTGATAACACTCCATTTCACACAAACAAAGAAAAGTGATTTGCAAAATGGAAGAGGTGTATGTTTGAGGAAGGAGGTCAGCTCTATTTGGTAATTTTTCTGAAAAAGAAAATTTCTGGTTCCCCTCAAAGACAGAACAGGTACTCAAATATTTTTGCTAACAGTAAGATTTTAGGAAATGCATGACAGGATTGCATTGGCTGTCAAATTTGTGAATTTTGATTTGTCTATTTTTGAAGGGGTCATGCCCCTACAAACACTTGGGAGTGGGTGTCTGGGGTCGCCTGCTGGGGCGCAGATGGTGGGCAAGACACAAACCCTACAGAGAGTGAAGGGAGGGAAGGGCGTACGTACAGCAGCAAGACTTGGCTTGCTGGCTGGCTTCAGACACATTTTTGCATGCGCTCTAAAAACAAAAACATCCACAAGTGGGTGGAAGGTTTTGTTTAACGGCTTCAGCATTTTTTTATGTTTGGTTTGGTTTGGTTTGAAATGATCAGTAGGATAATAACACACGGAGACAGGTCTAGACAACATAAGTCATTAGTCAATGATTTCGTATTAAAATATGGAGCCACCGACGCACCCACCCTAAATTATAACAGGTCCATTTCCTGCTTATTTATCAAAACCAACAACCTGATAACAAGTCATGCTTCAGATCCCTAAAAAAAAGATAAACAATATTTTTAACAGACAGGGTACCTCTTTCCATTGATTGTTATCAAATTAAAATCCAAATGATGCAGATATCGACAAGGAGCAAATTATTAGGGTACTATGCTGCTGATTTTTATACTTATCTGAAATATCTCGATATAGCAAATGTTCATAAACCTACATGTAAGAAGAATAACATGGAGTGGAGACTGGGGAACTTAAAGACTTACATACATACATACAGAAAGGCTCAACCCTGATACACATGGACCCCTAAATTTCACTTCAGGCTCCAACCAACTTTTGCAATTTTAACAGAAAATGGCTCAAATAGTACCAAAATATATTTCTTGACTGGGTCACAAAGGTGAGAGTGGATCCCTTGCCTAGAAGTAAGATACTGATCATGGTAGGCAGGGGAGGCTCAACCTGTTAACTACTCAGTAGTATGAGGACAGGATCGATGCAGACAGTGTTTGTTGGCAGGGGACATCTTTAGACCATGTTCAGACTAACCCCTCGAAGAGGTAGAGGATTGGACAGACTGGGGGCACCCACACATGTTTGTGTTTAGAGAGCATGAGATATGTAATAAATAATGCATGAGAGAGACAAGCAATGGATCCAGTTGAATAACAATAAGGAAAAAAATATATTGGAACTGACAGATGTCCAAAATATTTTCAAATATTTTCACATATTTTCGAGTACATGGAAGGGTTGGTTGAGTAAAGGGATGATTGGCATTGCCTATCAAAGTATTCATTACTATGCTTTTACGGGATTACATTCTGACTCGTCGTTGTTGTTGAAAATGTCTTCTATTCTTCATGTTCATCCAAGTCCTCGCTTCATAATTTGTGTGTTACACCCCTATGGCGTGTAGGGATGGTTACTCTAAATAACTGGAAATAATCAAAGATGAGGAGAAACAAGTCAGTTGGTGTACTCAGTGCTCACTCAAAATGTAGAATGACACATTTATTATCTCCATAATAAATATCAACGAATGACAGAAATCATCATACAATAACAATATTGTAAGAACAAACTTTCTAGAATTATTATGTTTTCCGTCTTCTTATTCTCATGGATACATAACCATAACAATTGATATCAAACATCTTGTACATCACACTTCTTAACAACTTCATCCTTAAGGATGTTCCTTTGAAATCGCTCAATACTACATGTGAATGTACTTTAAACTCTAACAAGTATACAATATACATTATATACCAACCCGAGCACGAACCCGGATCATGTTTATATTAAAGATACCATGTTCATATAAACCATGACTTTTCCTTTAACTATCCTTATGTTCTCATGAACATACTACTCATAAAGAAGTCATACTATTATTATCAAACGGTATCCAAGTAAACTCCCTTAAATAATCAAGGATTATTTAATACAAGTTCTATTATTTCAGCCAATAAAACTAACAATTGACTATAAGAAATAACCTTAAAGTCTAGTTTAACAAACACTGAACTGAATCTCAAAAGTACTAATTAATGACACTTTAAATCATCACATCAAAATGACTACTCTAATAACAAACTATCCAATAGAAAGCCAAACAGACAGTTACTTACACTGTTCACAAGCTAACTGCGCATCATGCTTTATATCTTAATGCATTATAATTCACTTGTTTAATAACCTACTAACTACTATGGATGGAATACCAGTAAAATGTATTACTTTAGCATGAATACATAAAATATACAATATACATGTATACATACTAATATCAAAATACATAGGTAGAAATGATATTGTCTTACCTGGAAATAATCAAAGATGAGGAGAAACAAGTCAGTTGGTGTACTCAGTGCTCACTCAAAATGTAGAATGACACATGTTGTACACTATGCATGCTGACCGATCTCTGCTCAAGTCTTAATCTCCAAGTTCGTCCATTTATGCTGGTAGGGTAATGTTTACTAAA